AGGTGAACTGGATTCTCCACAAACACTCGTTTAACAAGTGTATCCTACCCGCCCTACCTTAGTAACAGCTTCTCTCCAGTTGGATCTGAACAGCCTCTGGGAAGTTTTTCCTACCTGGATCCTGCCAGGCCAGTACAGCTTTTAAGCTGTCATAGAATCTTCCCAGGACTGGGGTTGGCAAGAAGTAAAGTCCCCTGAGAAGGCCCAGACTGTCACAGACTTAAACCAGCTTTCGCACTTCAGTGCTCCTGGCCCCTGGGGGCTGATCTCCCTGGCTTTCTCCTGCCGAGCACTGCCTACCCCAAGTCATGGCCAGTTTGCCTCAAGTATAGGACCTTTGGTGGGAGGCTGGCCAATTCACTAACACCATGAACGCAGCAAGGAGGGCCTCACCAGTGATCTGAGACTACAGGGTATCAGTTCCCAGTCCTGGCTGCATACTGGAATCATGTGTGGTGTTAAAATACAAACAAAACCCGCCAGTATCTAGTCGGGCCCCACCCCCATCTGCCAGATCCAGGCATTTTTTAAAGCTCCCCAGGTGACTCTAATTTGCAGCCTGGTTGGAGAAGCACTAATGACAAAATCAGTTCCTTGCGCCTTTGCACTTATTAAACATCTGAATTATAGCAATGTGGGGAGGGGGGAGGTGCAACGGCTTTCAGCAGAGAAGTCTAAAGAAACAAACTCCCTTCAGTAACTTTTTGTTAGAACAAACACTTTGCACATCATAAACCTCATGGGAAATCAGAATGTAGACATGAAAAAATGGAAGGATGCCTTATGGTTGAACTGGGACATACAGTAGAGCCCCCATAGCGGACCACCTCCCTACATGGACCATTTCCTTAAGTTGACCTAATTTGCAAGGACCGGACATGCACCACATATGTCAATCAATCAGCATGGTAGGCCTAGCTCTTTCTGTTGGCCAGCTCCCTATGTTCAGACCAGTTTGTTACAGTCTGTGGGGTGGTCAACTTACCGAAATTCTACTATAGTCAAGGAACTCTTACTAAATTATTTATTCAGCTGAATTATATCACTGCCCACTGGCAAAAATGTAAATCCACCATTCGGAAAGTCACATATGAATTTTTTTTCCTTCCAGAGTTGGAAAATCTCTCTGGTTGGCAGCAACCTGGGCTGCGGTGAGCACAGGTAAAGAGGTGTGAATGGCCCTGCTGACTGGTCAAGGTGTACTCCCTGAAGCTCTGGCTTCAGGATCCTCCCTGCTTTTTCCTCCTCCCTGCTCTCCTGGCACCTGTCCTGGTAACCTAAAGGAAGCAGCCTTATTCAAGGCCAAGGACCAATCCCAACAAGTAGAAAAGCCCAACAAGACTTTTCAGTAGATGAATGGAGCCCAAGGGCAAGGATTACCCTGGCCTCTGGTAAGAGCAGAGGGTAAGAGTCATGATGACAGAGTTTTTATCTGCACTGCTGCCCGCAGGGCTCAGGTACTGGTGGTATCTGCTGAATGGATGAATGAATGAATTTCTCCTCGAGGGCTGTTTTGTGCTAGTCCTTTGGTATTTCTCTGTAATTTTTTAGCAAACCCTTAAATGTATAAAAGGGACATCTATGAAGCTTTTTTGGTTTTGCTTGTTTTTTATTCTTGCCAGAGTCAGAACCAGCTGAAATAACTAGTGATGGGAAGGAGATAGTCCAATCCCTGATGTCCACAACAAAAAGAGTTCAGTAGAAAGGCCTAGACTAGGGAGGGTATTTGGTCTCACATTTCAGGTAAGACCTCACAAGATGTATACCAGTCCTTCATTTCAACAGGGCCCACCGCCATGAACTCTTCTTACATATTCCAAGTCCTGACTCTCCAACGCAGGCACTTACAAACCCTGGGCCAGTTGCTTTCTTTTTCATTTACTATTATTATTATGAAATGAAGTTACACTGAGGTGGGAAGAAATACAGCAGTCAACATTCAAGGATTCTAAAACCTCAGTAGGAATTTTGAGCTGGAAAAACAAGCCCATCGTTTTGATAAACTAAGTGTCTTCACAGACACTATGACCAAAATGATAGTATCCACGGATGGAGCCTAGAGTCCCATCCTCAGGGAATGTGGGGCTGTGATGCAGGGGAGATTTCACACTCCACAGGGGAAGGAAAACCGGCCCTAACATCCACTACACTTAAAGGCTGCCTCTCTGCCTCAGGAGCCAGAGCTCACAGATAAAAACATGCTTTGAAAGGCAGAGTTTCATATTCCACAAGTGACCAATTCAGTAGTCTGGATTTTTCAAAATGTGGTCCAAATGATCTGAAGCGATTGAATGATAATTTGCTGATTTTGCTCATTATCAGAAATGACAATGCTGAGAGCATAGTAACAGGCCCAGCACAGTAAAAAACAGAGATTTCTTTATACAAGGAGCACTTCCCAACATCACCATGCGTCCTCCACAAGCCTTTCAGATTACAGAGCATTTTGGAGGAACACTTAAGAACTTCTAAATCAACTTCCTACATCATAAGTAATATGCCCGAGATGAAGCGCTAAATAGCTTCCCGGGGCAGCCAATATTAGAAATGTTTTCTTCTTTTTGGATGAAGAGCTGCAATTTGCCTCTTTGAAAGTGCCACCTAGTGGTTGTGGCCTGGCTTTGCATCGAAATAAAAAAGAAAAGTACGTTCATTCCCTCTTGTATGCGATTGTTTTGATATTTTAAACCTTCCCTTTCTGGTGTAAGTTAACATGGTATACTGGACAAACAAAATGATTTTTATACTTGATTTAGATAGTTTAAGAATAAAAGTCTCTCTCTCTCTTTCTTTTTTCTGTTTCCATTCACTGTTGAAACCCAGCCAGTCCCCAGGTGGTGTGGACTTTGATGGTGGTGTCCTAAGTTTTAGTCTATGATTTCATTCCAACGACTGGGCCTTCCAGACCATATCAGAATTTAGAGATGCTTATTTGGGAGATATCAAATCACAGGTAGGAAACCAAGGCATGAACAGATCTGTATAAGCAACTATTTTGTAATGTATATGTGTACACACATACAGCACATATTATACATGTGCATATATGTTACATATATGCATGTGTTATACATATAATTCCCCCACCCCTTCAAATTGATATGTTTATTATATTCTGGAAGTATAGAAAGCAGAGAATTCTAAATTTCTTTGAAAGTATCTTTAAAAGAAAATGTCTCCAATTTTGGTACCAGTCTTAGCACCTTCTAAATCAAGGTTTAATTGAATCAGAAGCCAACTCGTATGAGGTCTTGTTCAATGGTTCTCTGATAGAGATGCAAGAACAACACAGACACCCCTCCTGGTGAGGTGAAAAAACTGTAGTGCCTCACCCCACAATTAAGGAGTCACGTGGGGAACACAAGGGATCGCCCTTGGCCCCGATGTCATGTGTGTGGAGTGCAGAAGCTAAAGATCTATGCTCTGACAGCCAAGGTTCACCGAGATGCCAAGTGTGACAAAATGATGTTTTTCCTCGGGAAACACACTCCTGACATCTACCTAGTGTTGATGATCAGGCAGGAGCTCTGTCCTGGTCACTGTCACAAGCATGCTACTGCCTGGTTGCACAGAGGGGCGTCAAAGGTGCTGCCTGGCTTCCTCTGTTACTCTGTTATCCCCTTTAAAGTCCTGTGTGTGAACCAAGAGGAGGCTTACAAGAGTCAACACATTGTGATTGAACTTCCACTTTGGGGGCAAGATTTTATCTAATATAGTAAGTGTTTATCCTTAATATATTGGACACACCATCCAAGAGCATCCCTGCCCATCTTCACAACACCCTTACCACACTAATATCCCCAATATTTTATGGATTAATAAAAATAGATATACTTTTCATCTTGTATTTGTTTGTCATGTCTATAGTTTTATGAGATGTATATACACATTTAATTTTAATAATTCATTAATAAAACAGATAAACTTTTAGAGTAGTGCTTAATAGACACTTTTTTTTTTTTTTTTTTTTGGGCAGTTTTGGCCAGGGCTGGGCTTGAACCCACCACCTCCAGACTATGGGGCTGGCACCCTACTCCTTGAGCCATTGACGCTGCCCAGTAGCGCTTAATAGAAGGAAAGCTTTTTCCCCCAGTTTTCCATTGCCAACCAATTATTTAATTAAACTGAAACTTCTTTTCCTTGCCAGAGAATTAGACCCAAGAGAATTCTTATAATCCTGTTAGCACGCACTGCATTTTTTTCTAACAGGTTTTTCAATCAGATTTTTTAATTGAGCAAGAAGAAACTATAAGATCATGTGAGCAGCTTCACCACTGCACAGACTTTCCTTTTTTGAGCACCACCATCGGAGGGGCAGATTACACCAATACAAGTTAAAAGAATTTGTTTTCCTCTTAGAGAAATACAAATGGTCAACTTACCTGGGTTTGTTTTTCGCTTAGAAAAAAATAAAATAGTGAATCATGCCCTGTCCAGCAAATACATAAATTGGTTTCCTGTTACATGGAAGTTAAGGACAGAAAGGATGGTGGAAAAAAGAAAGGATGGTGAAGAAACAAGAATGGGAGAAGAGAATGAGGAAGGAAGGAGGAAAAGAGAGAGAAACAAACAAGGAAAGGGAGTGAGGGTGAAAGAGGCAGAAGAGAAAAGCACACCCAGAAAAGGAGAAGGGACACAGGTGGGAGCTGGAGAGAGAGGCAGGCGGGTCTGGGAGGAGGCCGAGACCGCAGCTAACATCAACCTGCTCTTCACACATCACACCCTTTCGTCTGCTGAGCCCATAGGCACCCACAGAGGGTATCGCTGCCCTGTCAAAGAGGGTGTGCTTCCCACTCACTTCCAGCTTTCTCAACTGTAACCCTTGATCTGGAGAAGCTCCCTTTGAGAGGGATCATCATCAGTCCATGGGGGACCAAGAAGGCTGAGCAAGATCACTATGAACCACTGTAAACCGAGCGGAGAGTTGAGTCTGTTCTGGGGCTGATGTTCCCCCACCACAGAAAGCAATCCCGGGCCCATGGCCTTTTATAAGTGCTCACCTCCTCAACCATCTGCTTGACCTTCTTCTGCTGGCAATGCACCATGTCATCGAGGTGTCTGATGCGCTCACGGAGGCTGGCTGATGCCTCCTCCAGCTGCTGATACCTAACACAAAGAGAAGAAAAGAGCAAATGAGGCCCAAACCAAAGCAGCAACACCGGCATAAAAAGTCACAGCTTTAGAGAATGGTGGCAGGAACAAGAGATGAACCCTGAGATGCCCTCATCTGACTTTGTGTGCATCTCAGATGACTCACTACCAGCCACCACCCAGCAGAGAAGGAGGACAGGACTCTTCTGCAAGTTCCCATTTGCAAGTTTTATCCTCTATAAGGACCATTATTTTTTATACAGATACAAGAGGCTCTCTGCTTCGGGGTTAATAAAATATAGGAAAGCCCATTAAAGGACCTTCCTTAGGAGGACAGAGAAGGAAGGATCTAGCAAACACAGCAAAATATCTAAAATCAATGGCAGAGTCATGGAGAGTGTGGAATCATAGTTGCTGTACACATTATTTATTTGGGGTAAATGGGGAATACATGGAGCAATTTGGGGTAAATGGGCATCACAATAGAGCAAGCCCCATCCCAAAACAATTCATACTTTTAAAATACAAATTATTCTCTGACTTTGCTTGGTTTAAAGGAACCAAAGAAAGCAACAGATGGACTCTTCATTTCTCTGGGGCCACCAGAGCTGGGCACTGGAGGAAGAGTCTGGCAGTCTATTCCCCACTTCCCCCTCTGCCAGGTTCCTTCCCAGCACTATATTTAAGACCTGCAAAGCCCCCTGTGACTTTGAAAACTCTGAAGCTGCAAATGGGAAGGAAAAGAGATTTTTTTTTGCAGCAAATACTATGTGGCGGGCAGAAAGCCCAACAGTTCCCTCACAGTGATAACCCAATGAGATGGGCACGGTTCTCACCATAACCTGCTTCTCCTTTGAAAACAAATTGCCAAGTCACACATAAGCAAGACTCTCAGGTGAAGTAACATGCCCAAAATACTCAAATCATCCCAACCTTGCTGTCCTTCACCAGAGAGCTCCTTTTGATTTCCAGAAGACACTGTGTGCTATTCCCAGATTTTTCACACATGCCTTTGTATCCTCACAGCCATAGGACAGGGCAAAGTTTTACTTAGCAATGTTTGGAAACCAAGACATTTTAAAATTAGTTTCCAGGACAAATGGTATTAGTCATGCTTGATGAGTTTTCTCATCCAGAAGCTATATCCTGTGGAGTTCAAGGTTATGGAGAACATTTACAGACTGAACCTTTGCACTGGTGACAGTCTTTGATATGTTCTGCTGCACTAACAACCAACCATGGGCTGTACGATGTGGCTGTATGTTTCTAAAGAAACTCTCAGCCCAATGTCACATGTGTACAAATCTGTTATAGGTGACAACCACATCAATGAAAATGCAAGGGACTGATGAGCCCACAAAAACATAGCATGTCTACCATCTTGATCTGTTGTAAGATAAAGGGCCTCACATCTTACCTCTCCTTGTCAGAAGCAGTTACCTCCCCTGACATTTCTGTTTCATGCTCTAGGAGTTGGAGTTGCAGTTGATGGCGTTCCTAAAACAAACAGGAGCTGATGTTTTTATTGGTGCATTCCAAGTTGGGCAGAGAAGGTCCATCAAGCAGTTTTAGCACTAAGGAGTCCAAGTGTGTATAACACTCCCTGGATTTTACACCCTAAGGTGTACTCCCTGGCCCATTCACCCAGAGGCCAAACAAAGCTCAACAGTACTACATGTGCTGGTGTGCATTTATAGGTATATTTATGAGACAAATACACATATCCTACATAAAACCTTCAAGATTTTTTTTTTGAGACAGTCTCACTTTGTCATCCTCAACAATGCCATGGAAGTGCCATGACATCATAGCTCACAGCAACCTCAGACTCTTGGGCTCAACCTATTCTCTTGCCTCAGCCTCCCAAGTACCTGGGACTACAGGCACCCACCACAGCACCTGGCTATTTTTAGAGACAAAATCTCGCTCTTGCTCTAGCTGGTCTTGAACTCGTGAGCTCAGGCAATCCACCCACCTCAGCCTCCTGGAGTGCTAGGATTACAGGCATGAGCCACCATGCCTGGCCTGAGATTTATTTTTAAAAGTATTCCATCAGCCCAGGCTCAGGCATCTTGTGAAAAATTATAGTTCTAAATAATAACAATCATGACTCTAAATCAGTGGCTTGTGATATTACAAAATTCTTTACTATTTTCTCAATCATCAAGAAAAGAGGCTCTGGAATTCTGACGATAACCTATCTACTAACCTGGGTAGCACTTATACAAGTGTGTGCACTTGTAAAAATGTGTTGTACTAGTCAGAATAGCAGTTCCCTAAAGATGTCCACATCCTAATCCCTGAAATCTATATGTGATCTCACATGGAAAACATTGCAGATGTGGTTAAGTTAGGGTTTTAACATAGGGAGATTGTCCTGGGTTATCCATTTGGACCTTGGTAAGGAAAAGGCAGTAAGGTTGCAATCAGGGAAGGGAGACAGATGCCCCACTGCTGGCTCTGAAGCCAGAGGATAGGGTTCCCAGCCGAGGAGCACAGGTGGCCTCCAGGAGCTAGAGAAGGCAGGGAAATGTGTTCTCCCCTAGAGCTTCCAAGAGGAATCCAGCCCTACCGAAACCTCGATTTTAGGACTTGTGAGTTTTGAAGATGTAACATAATAAATCTGTGTAGTTTTAAGCCCTAATTTTGTGATACTTAGTTATAGCAGCAATAAGAGACATCCAGGTAGCAAGCAGGGTACTTTGTACACTTTGTTGTATGTATATCAATTTAGAAATTTACAAAAAAAGGATCTGCTATTATTTCTTTAGACAAAGTGGGGAAACGCTAATGACAACATGGTGGCCATCATAACTAAAATTGCACTAGCAACACAAGACAGATAATGAGCATAATACATGTCCTTAAAATGGAAGCTGAACAAAGCCTGCTCACTAACCAGGAGGAGGTTATTTGACTTTAGGGGCTCCTCAGGGAACTGCTGTACCTCACCTTTATGTTCAGAAATTTGACCCTGCACATTCTTACCAGTTATATAGATTCCAAACCTCTTTCCCATGAAATTATTAAGAGCAAATCATGGAAGACTTATCTCCCACAACTTCTGAAGCTCTACACAGAAGCATACCAAGGGGTCTAGGAGGAGTGAGTCACCACCAACATATTTAGAATAACAAAGGTAGGATGAGTGGGGTGGCTTGTGCCTGTAATCCTAACACTCTGGGAGGCCAAGGAGGGTGGATTGCTTGAGCTCAGGAGTTCAAGACCCCAAGCAGGACACAAACGCTGCCACAGTTCCCACCTGTGGACATGCTGTTCACATCACATGGGGCAGAGATGCGAATACATTCCTGATCTCAAGGATTTATTCTGAAAAGTCTGTAATCAGTATATCTAGTCTCAGCTAAATAAATACAGTGTTTCTCTAGCCTAAACAGAAAGGAAGATTTAGAAAAAGGACAATAAATTCTGAACCACTAATAAGCAGACAACTCCACTTGGGGAACGTTTTGTGTCACCTAAAGGCTGGCAGACAGGGCTGACCTAGCCACCCCTCTGGCTTCTCACCCATTCACATACAGGCTCCACATGGGAACCAGTGGGGAGAAACTAGAATCCCAAGGGTACAAAGAAGCTAAGCTACAAAATGAATCCAGCTAAAAAAGGGTCTGGGGGCAGACACTTAGGCAAGACCGTAATAAAATGAAAATCTGAGCCACAAAGGACTGAGCCCTTCCTGGGCGCCAGGCACTGTGCTTTTTTTCTCATTTATTTCTCGTAAAGCCTGAAGAATAAGAATATCATTACCAGCATTTTACAGAGTAGGACACTGGGTTTGCAAAAGTCAAGTAACTAACTACCCACAGTAGAAAGGGAAGCAAGGCTCAATTCTGAGGTCTGCCTGATTCTAAACCCTGTATTCCCAACCACTACACAGTCTGTCTGTAGGGTGACCTTGTGCCCATGGCTACCAGCTCACCTTGCTGCTTTATGCCAGGGAAAATCTGTCACCCAGAAGGAGGTAAGCAGCATCCTCCACTGTTGGCAGGAGAATAGTAATGTGGGAGAAACCTCACCCAAGTTCTAGAAAGGTCCCTCATTGCCTTGCCTCACCACTATCCACTGTAACATTAGTCCTACCATCTGCTCCTCCAGAAATGATGGGATTCTGTTTTCTCAAGGGGTAGAGGTGAGATTGTAAATGACTCTTTAGTTTGCTCAAGTCTCTCCCAAATAAAAATACTAGCTAGAAAGGAGCCCCTGGTGAGTCCTGAAGGTCCAAAGCATTGAATTGAATGCAGTGCCCACGCTGGTGGTACTCCCCTTCTCAGGGGACCATAGAGGATTCCATGTTGTGGACATGATGGAGTAAGGAGACCTCTTCTCAGAATCTCATGGAAGCCCATACAGTGGCTTTGCTCACATTTTTGGCCCCGGCCTGCGTCATCAGGGTGGAGATTCTCAGCACCCAGAGGGAGTGACAGGGCACTGGTAATGTCACAGTGTTGGCAGGTCACCGTTCTCTATAAACTCACCTGTAGCTTGAGAGCTAGTTTTCAGAAAGCAGCCACAGCCTTAGCCTTCAACTCCCGGGCCCTCCCCAGAAGTCAGCTGTCACCTGCTGAAGGTCACCCATTCTTTCTCTTCCTTCCCTTCCTTTCCTCTTTCGTCTCTCCCACCACTTCCGCCCATTTTCTCCACTTCCTGCCTAATTTCCAAGCCCCTCCCTTTCTCTAAGTAGGCTGCACGATCTCAGCTGAGTTCCTGTCATCCTAGGTGCTCCCACCCCACCCATCAGCCTGCCGACCACACGCCCAGAGAAATGGGGCCTCCCTACTCCTCCAAGTCTCTGGCATGTCAGGGAAAAGCCACCCTTGAGACACACCCCTGGGAACAACAGGGTTGCAGTGTTGATGTCACATCTAAATAGGGTTTGATTACTCAACGGGTAAACTCAATTAATGCCTGGGATACCAGCAAGGCAAGGCTGCTAAATATATATTTGTATCAAATTTACGTAATATTTTTTAAAAGGCATCAAAATAGTAACAAGTGAAAAACCAGAACTTTTTTTTTTTTTTTTT